AATCGTACAACATTTTTATTTATAGATCGTCCATCGCTGTGTTTGGGTATATTGTAATATTTATTATTTGTAATATTATTTGTGGACGGTGTTGTAACGTGTCCGCTTCAGCACTCGAAATAGAATTAGAAGTATAATAAAGATACACAAATGTTCGTATACTCAAAGTATTTGTATTAAAACATTTAAAACATAACAAACGTCCGTACTGGATGTATAAGTACACACTCTCGTCGTCTCTGGTATTCGACTCTGACTCCCCGAGTTTGTCAATCACTTTCCTATTTATTCTACGCGGAGTCACCTTGTTATGATGACGTCCGTGCCAGGGCCGTCCTGACGATTTGCGGGGCCCAGGGCAGAGTAAAATTGTGGGACCTGAAATGTCATTACTCATTATCGCCAGTTGGCAGTGGCATCAATTTAATATTATGATATTATCTATGTACCTAGGTACAGTGGCGTATTTAGGAATTTGTCATGGGGAGGGTCCAGATAATTTTCAGAACACAGAGCCACGGGGGACGAAGCCCCCCACACCACCCATTTACTCTTTATTAAATAAAATATACTATATTTATAATGCGATATAAAATTGTCGAGTTTTTAATTATTAAATAATAATATGTACAAAACAAATTTAAAAAAAAAGCGGGTGAGTGGATGTCACTCTGCTGCTGTACAGTAGGTTACAAGTGGGTCAATATATAATGGATTGTATTAAACTTGAACTCAATGATATAATATCATAATATCATTGTATAAGAAAAACGATTCTGAGCGAAGACGGTTTGTCAGTCTGGATATTTTATATTGTTATTATTTATTATAGCCTGTAAGTTGAATTAATAATGAAATACTTTTATTTTTTATTTTTTTCTATGGTGATAGACAAAGTGTTAGAAATTAAAATCCCATTTTTAGCGGTTTTTCGTAATTTTTTGGTATTTTTACAGTGGCATTAAATAACTATTGAGAAAATCGAAAAATGACCTCTCTAAAGTACTATCTTGATCCAATTTTCTAAAAGGTAAGTTACTATATGTCTATACATGTTGAAATCGAAGCACTCCTTCTGGAAGAAATTTTGTATACAGGAAAAAAAATAAACACCATTGTAGAACCAATAGATCCCTCAGAATCGAATATATAGTTATATGTTATACATTTTATACAAATATTTCCTTAATTACATTAGGTACCTACTTCATTCATAGTAACTATGTATAAAACTACATTTTTTCAGAAATGCATTTTATTGCATGAAAAGGGGTGTTATAACATTATAAACATTATATCACAATTTGATAAGAGTTATTTAGTGGTTACCAATAATAGTTGGTTACCTACGTGTTATAAGAAGAATTGATCATTAGTTGTAGTGGATAAAAGCGGTAGTGTATGTTAACTTTTCAATTTCAAAAATGTTAGTTAACACCTTTATCCATTGACCCCTTCAGTTGATCTTAGATGGCTTTTCAACCTTAAAACGTTTGAAAAAGATCTCTCTGGAGTGGTTATAGATACTGGAAATGTACAAAACTACAAAATATTTGAATTAAAAAATGGATTTGTTATTTTTCAACCATTTTCGGTACCCAACTGATAAAAATAATCACGATATTTATTGAAAATGTTTATATAATTATAGCTTCGAAAATTGTTTATAAAATCCGTAAAATGGTATGATAAAATTTGTTTTTTAATCATGTAAAAACTGCACAACATTTAACATGTACGAGACACGAGTCAATGGGAGGGGTCCAAACCCCATGGACCCCCCCCCCCCCGTAAATACGCCAATGCCTAGGTAAGGGGGCAACGCTCAAATATACTTAAAAGTATATTACTTACAACAATTATTGTTACTTATTTTAAATAAATAAGTAAATTAATTAATAACAAAAGACGTCATTATATTTAAACTTAATATTATAATATTTATAAATTATTAAGTCTACAAATAAAAATTTCTTGAGGATATAACCAGCTCTAGTCAAAATATTGTAAAAATGTTTTATGGAAAATACTAATATAAATATTTGTTGAAAATGTCAAGGTTCCTACAGTCATTCATTTTTGTGTTACACCAAAAAAATAAAATATTTTTCAAAAATTGGTTTTGTATAAAAGTTATCTCTTTTTTTTTGTTTTTAAAAGTAAAAGTAGTTGACATTTTTAATATTTTATTCCCAAAAATACCAAATAGTTTCACTTTTCTATCAGTAAATATGCTGATCTCGAAAATCGGAACACTTTTACTACCCAAAATATGGCTTACAAAACAGAAAAAAAAACACACATCATTGTAAAATCAATACATTTTTTCGCTCCACTGAGAATTTAATATATTATGAATTATAACCTTCCTAGGTATTAAATAATTAAATGTGTCAATAAAAATTTAAATTTAAATATAAATATAAATTTTAGTTAGTCAGCATTTTTTTTAAGTAGGTTTAGGTAGTAAAAATTACAACAGTTGAAGGTATAAAAATACATAGAAATGATAAATTTTTTTTTTGCTTATTTACTTGACTTTTTTATTGTATCTCAATATACTATACCTAATGGCTAATACCCGAGTAGCAATTTTAATGTTCAATGTCGGTTTCCAATTACCGTGTTAAAAATACGGTGTATACACTGTTTATGAACCGTTAACTGAACCTACAATGGTTCACTAAAAATGTTTTAACATTTTGAATAACCGAAATATTTTTAAATAATTCAATGTCAGTTATTCAGACCTTGCACGGTGCTTACAGTGTGCCGTAAAACCGACATAAGTATATGGTGCTATGAAAATGTTCATACACATTCATTTAGTTAAAAACTTGTGTTACAGTACCGTGCCATGCACGGTTCTATGACCGTACTTAATAACATTGTTGCTCAGTGCCTGGTCAGTGTTATCGCACGGTGCTTACAGTGTGCCGCAAAACCGACATAAGTATATGTTGCTATGAAAATGTTCATACATATTCATTTAGTTAAAAGCTTGTGTTACAGTACCGTGCCATGCACGGTTCTATGACCGTACTTAATAACATTGTTGCTCAGTGCCTGGTCGGTGTTATCAGCAATTTATGTATAATAATAGAAAATAGAAAATAATAATTGTCGTTTATATATATGCAATCGGCGACAACTAATAATAATATTAGATTTTAAGTCACTGGCCTATTATTAAGCGAGCGCTGTACCGTCAACTTATTATAGTCCAACAATCATAGATATATTATGATTAATTATTTGTGGAAACCAGAATGTAGTAGATACTCTATGGTGGAAACACGGGACGCGGCGCGCTCTCTCTGAACGAGGTTAATTATTATAAGTTTTATTTTTGTATTTGTAATTTGGTAGTTGCTGTTTTTACATACAACTTTTAATTCTTTTATTGGCCATACTGACTGGGGAGTACTGGAGTGCACAATAGATTTTACGTACTGCGCGTATTTGGCGGTTACTTCGTTTGTTTATTGTTTCTGTGCTCATAGCTCATGCGACAATGCACTAATAGCCACTAAATAATATTTCTACAAAGTTGTATTGTATAATACAATAGCACGTGCTATTCTGATATGTGAGTGTGTTACTAGTTTTTGACTTTTTTTTATACTAATTGCGTTATTAGCAACGTCAACGGCTCAACACGCGTGTTCGCAAATTTCGTTCAATCAAAATGTAAGTACAATTATATTCTATAATCTATATACACGCTTTTTAATAACTTATACCATTGATTAAATATACAATATATTTAATCAATGCTTATACTTGCTCATAGCCTATGAGTATGAGCTTATGGTAGCGTATGCACTTTGCGTAGGTATACAAAAATAATGAAAAGTAGTGTGCGTTATACTCGTTCTATAAGCCACCAAATCAATAACTGAATAAGAAAATTGTTGAAACCAGCTAATTAAATTAAATTCATATTTTTTTCGCTATAGATATAGGTATTGGGTATTATAGGTACTGGATGAGGTAGATTGATACTATTTAAGTTTGATCGGTACTGAACCATATGTCGATATCCATAATATTTATAAATCCTGATTCATCACTTAATTGTAAATTTATTTTGCATATTATATTTTTTCTACTTGTGTTATTTAAATATACAATTAATAGAAGTGTGAAACGATATGCTTTTGTATTAAATAGGTGCCTATACTATTACATTATTAGGAGTACCTATTATTAAGAGAAGTATTTTTTAGTGCTTTTGTATTAAATAGGTGCCTATATTAATATATTATTACGATTAGGTACCTGGGGGAGTAACTATTTTTAAGAGTACCTACCTATAATATAAATTCCATGCAACAATTAATAACATATTATAACAGTACCTATATTATATTGTAATTCAGTATAATAATTATAATTTAGTATAGTCCATAGATAATCAAGTTTTTGTTTCAACTAATATATCCCTATGTATTTACTTGTTTATGATAATTTCAATAGATTAGTGGATATTATATTTCACTTAGAAATGTTCAACAGCATTACCACTTATCATAGAGTCTGTGTGGTTAATGTATGAACAATTTTATAGGGAGGGGAGGGGTTGACTATATTAGATAGATTCTAAAAAACTGAGCGTCTCAGACCATACTATTTTAAATATTTATATATAGGTATTATATTTGAATCATAAACATATGTTCCATTTTTTTACATTAACTGTATAATAACTATGATTTTGAAAGAACCAGTATTTATAATCTGTGCTTTCCCCCACTTTACCTAGGTACTGCATAAAGTGGGTACCTATTGACTATTTAAATTATTATTAGTTAAGGAAGTTCAATCAGATTTGTAGTATATAAGTATTAACAGATAAACTATGATGGTAACTTCACCAATTTAAGATTTTTATTATGTTTTGAATATGTATTGATACAATATGTTATTTATTTGAATACCTAAAATAAGTACATTTATTTCTTAGCTATATTAAATCATAAGTTACAATCATAAAAAAAATGTTGTTTAGGTCAAAGTCTACTCGTTATCGCTGTCGGAAAAGAGCTGCATCTCTTATAGATTCAACATTTTCAGCTAATAATGAAGTGAACATTGAGGAGAACCAAAGACTACTTCCTTTATCGAACTCACCTTTACCTGCAGATTTACAGCCTATATGTCCAGTAAAAGTAAATACTGGTTTAAATTTATTTGATTTTAATAGTGAAAATATTTTGAACCACAGTTCTAGTACTAGTAGTCAGAGTAGTTCAGGTGAAGACAATTATACATCAGAAATTGATACACACGATGAAGATATTGAAGTAGTTATTGCCAAGTGGGCAAATAGGAATAATGTATGTCATTCAGTTTTAGATGACTTACTAGTTTCTTTATCCAAATTCCATTATTTCAAACATTTACCCAAAGATTCTCGCACGTTATTGCATACACCAGTTAAAACTGTATTAAAAAATATCAAAGGTGGAGTGTATTATCATTTTGGAATTTCAAATGAAATAGAATATTTAACAAAACTGAAACAGAATCTGCCTTCTAAATTGCTATTAGTTGTCGGTATAGATGGACTGCCAATAACAAAAAATCCAGCAAGCCAGTTATGGCCAATACTTGGCTATTTTACTAATTTATTTACTGATAAACCTAGGGTATTCATAATTGGTGCTTATTATGGGAAATCTAAGCCAGATGACTGCAATGAATATTTAGAAGATTTTGTCGATGAATTATGTATCTTAAATGATGTTGGAACTATCATTAAAGGTAATAAAATTAATGTAATGCTCAAAGCTATCATATGTGATTCTCCAGCTAAAGCATATGTTCTCAATATACATCACCACACTGCTAAAAATTCTTGTTTAAGATGTCATACTTTAGGCAAATATGAAAACAATCGTGTTTATTTTCCTGATTCGTCTGCTTCTATGAGAAATCATACTGAATTTATATCTTATTCTGATAAAGATTTTCATTGTGGTGAAACAATTCTGACAAATATACCTAATTTTGACTTAATCAATAATATACCATTTGATTACATGCATTGCGTATGTATTGGAGTGATGAAGAAAATATTAACGTTTTGGATTGGTGGAGTTAAAAAACATCATTTGGCTCTTCCCAAAAATTTAATTTTTAATTTAGACAAAAAAATTAACATACTGGGAAAGTATATCCCATGTGAATTTCAAAGAGCACCAAATGAAAACAGCAGAAAGCATCCACTTCATGATGCATCCCGATTAAAAGCTTCAGAATTAAGACAAATATTATTATACACTGGAATGGTTATTTTTCCTGATATATTAAGTCAACAAATCTATGAGAATTTCATGGAACTCTGTGTAGCCATGAGAATTCTTTCAACAGCAAATATTTCAGAGGAATATACAGAATTTGCCAAATCATTGGTAAATCATTTTGTTGATTCTTTTGGTAAACTGTATGAAAAATCTTACTTATCCTCTAATATGCATATAATACAACATTTGGCTGATGATACCAAACAATATGGGCCATTAGACACTTTTTCTGCTTTTCCATTCGAAAACTACATGCAACCCTTAAAAAAAAAAATCAAAAGTGGTGTAAAACCACTTCAGCAATTAGTAAGACGGTATGCCGAAGATCAAATACTTTTTAAAGATGAAAACCAAAAATATAAAATTTCACTTGGGCCTGTCAATTATCGATGCACAATAAAAAATAGACCAATGACCAATGATGTCTTTGAACCACAGTTCACGGGTTGGAGGATGAAACGGTTTGTTATAAAACTTAATAGCTCTGATAATTGTGTTAAAATGAAGAATAATGATGTGGTAATTATTGAAAAAATTGCTTCATCAAAATTAGATGGCAATATAATGATAATTGGAAGAAAATACAATACAGTTAAGAATTTTTTTGAAAAGCCTTGTGCTTCAAACTTGTTAAGTATATACAATGCATCTCAACTTAGTCACCTTCAATCGTGGATGTTAAGTGATATAAAAGAAAAATTAATGTGCTTGCCGCTGATCGATTATGACATAAATAACTGTGTCATACTGCCTCTATTGCATTTACAATAATCTGTTTGTTTAATTTTTTTTTATGCATAGTTTATTATTTTTATTGTATTATATTTTGTATTATTGTTGTGTTGTATTTATAATGTATAATAGTACTAATTTTGAATTCAAATACTGGAGTTCATATATAGACATAATTATACAAATAACTACCTAGGTTTCATTATGGTATAGATATAGGTGAATTAAATTTAATTCATGATACCGCCATCTACAAATTCTACATTTATATGCAAAATTGAAATCAATATATTTCATTAAGTTTTCATTTATAAAGGAAATTATACATCTAGGTATATCTGTAACTGAATATAAATCTTACAAATTGAACGTATTAATTACTATAGTATATATACATTTTTTAGGCCCTGGTTTGTTGTTACATTTAACATGACAAATGAAGTGCAACATGTTCCTAACACGTGGCTGTCAAATAATGTTTGTTGGTTTCCATTCATCCAGAGTGATAACAAAAAAATTTACTTTACAGTATCTCAAGTTGCTAACATGATAAAAAAGTGCACAGTACCTAACAAAAATGATGGGAAAAATTATGATGTCGTAATAAGAGCTGGACCATTTGGTAAGCAATAAATAAACTAAATAAATAATTTACTTGGACTTAAACATATAAAAAAAAATATTTGTTGAGAGGTATATATAATAGATGTTTGCTATACAATTGCTGGCTAACATCTGTAAAACTTGTTAACCATTAAATCATTTACTATAATCACTACATTATAATATAGTGAGTTACAATCCGAAAACGGAAAATGTATTAAATAGATACTCATACTTGTAAAGCAAAAAATATCTAAAAACTTTTATAGTAATTACAGTTCATTTTTTTTTAGATAAAGAGAGTCATGCCAAGAAGGTATCTAAAGCATGGTCAGGACCAGATGATTCTTCATCTGATAGCAATGTTAGTTTATCTCCTGAAAAGCCATCATCTCCTAAAAAGAGGAAAATTATGCCTTATTTTTCTAGTGTACAGGAAAATGAATTAATTGTAAACCTACCTAAGGCACCTACAACACCTATTAGAAAGACATGTAATATTATAATTTATTTTTAATCTATATTATAAACTAAATATAATATCTATTTAATATTATTTTTATATTAAAAGCGTCTACTAAAAATAGCATACCTGTTTCCTTGGATTTGATCTCACCTCTTATCTTAAAAGGTAATGTAATGCAAAATTAAAGAATATTATTACAAAAATATAATATTTTAAACTTTTTTAATTGTATTTATTTTGTTATAAAGATTTTACATGTAATATATCTATAAATAATATTATTTTTAATTGGTAGAGTTATAAAACGTACCTATATTATATTATAATATTAACATTTTTAAAAATATTTTCTTGGGTAGATATAAGTACTAGTTCTACAGTAAGTTCCTCCGACATTAGACCATTAAATAATTCTACTGTTGATATTTGTGCCCAATCAACTCCAAATTCATCCAGTAACTTAATAATTAAAGACAAGACAAATACAAGTGAATATAATTTAATTCAAATTATAATCTTAAATTGTTATTGTGAAATATAATAATACATTTTATTATTACTGTTATTATAGACTGTAGCACTGCATTTTGCTCATATGATCCTGGGAATTTTAATGTAGTAACAACCATTAATGAAGTTGGTGTGGAAAGTAAGACAATATTAAACTGTTAACTGTATTTTATTTTTGAATGACATGATTATGTAATTTAATCACATAAATTAATTTTTACAGCAAATAATTCCTGTGAGTCAGTCATGACTGATTCTAAGAAAATTGAAAAAAATAGTGATGTACCAATTGAATTTGATATTAATAATATGGATGAAAACATTAGCTCTAATAGCGTTAGAAAAGGCAAGTTACTTTATATATTTATGTAATCCAACTATTTTTATGTATTTTTTATTAGTAATAGTACCTAATTTTTATTAAAATGTATTTAGAATTATTTGGCCACAATTCAAATGAAGATGAAGAATTAATAAAAAGTTTAGATAACGGTAGTACTTTAACACAGCTTATTTTAGAGGCTCAAATAAATGATGATTTTTTTATGGAAAGATCTACTAACTGTGATAATTCAAGTCTTGTTGAAAACACACAAAATGGTTTGTCTGGATATTAAGTTTTTAATAATATGCATTATTATGTATTGCCAACTATAATTTTATTTTCAGAAAATTGTTGTTGTAAGAATATTACTGAGCTTAAGTCTATTTTAAAATCAAACAACAAGTCTGTAGAATCTACACTTAAGCAACTGATGACTCAGATTTTCATACTGAATAACTCAAATACCAGGATTTGCAACGCTTTTAAAACAATGGACCAAAAAATTCAAATGATTATGAAGTCAAATGACAAGACAAGATCCTTGGCGCTACCTATACCCGTGTTACCCTCATCTTTAGTCGGTATATTACCAACCAAATCAATTGATGAGGTGGATGCTGTGGAAGCACTTTTGGCCGATAACGAAGATGGGTTGAAAAACCAAGAGGAATTGGTGAGTAAAAATAATAGTCGTGAAATGCTATATAAATTTTAAGATACATATAATATTTAATATAGATTATAATATCTGTACTTAAATGACAAGTATATATAAACACTTTCAAGTATAGTAATATATTATAATTTATTATCCATTTTCACTATAATATATTAATTGTATGTTTAATTTATATAATAGAATAATTATTATATATTATATAGGTTACCTATATATGATCCTGTATACAGGATGTTAAATCAGGATTTACTTATTGCGATAACTACTGAGATGATGGAGATATCACGATTATAGTTTTTTTTTTATAAGATTCATTGACAAGTACTTAAAATATTTCATATTTTAATCTATTTTAATTTTTTTGAACAAATTGAGAGTATAGTTTTAAAAATTTTATTTTTTTCCCTTTAATCTATTGATTTTTAATCATTTTTTTTAGGAAATACTATACTACTCTAAGTATGATAGCAAAAATTCAGTTTTGTCCGGTTAGCATATTATGTTCCATTATGGGTAATGTCTAAATCCTATAGTGGTATATTTGGACATATATAATAAATATATTATTTTAATGCTATATATATATATATATAACTAATAATTTTATACTGTACTTATTTATATATAACATTATATACCTAATATAAAGGTTTAATTTTATATGAAACTGAATATTTTCAAACATTAATTAATAATTATGTTTTGATTTGTATGTTTACAGAAATCATATCTTTACATAAAATCATCGAACACATCTACATTTAGTGCAGCGATAAGGCATACAATTGATACATGTTTTGAATATCACATTTTAGCTTTATTTAGTTATAAAGGGAAAACTAAACGATCCTTTATAGACCTAAAATTATATTCAGTTATTTATGGTGAGTTGAGCAATGTTTATTTAATCATTCTTATTTATACTTCACTAGTTCATTTTAATATAGATACTGTCGCAAAGTGACAATTTTAATTTTCATGTTCTAAAATATCATTATAGGAATTAAAAACTGAAAATAACTTTTTCCACTAATTTAAATGTATTATGTTTCAGAAGCTTTATCTGGTTTCCGAACATCTCCACTCGAAGAGCAAACGTTCCACAAGGTTACTGACAACTATATTCGACATGCCTTTAAAAAAGACACCAATACACCAGTTTCAAATTAATTTGTGTTTTAAATAAACACTTAAATCACTTGCTATCAAAGTTGTTAGTTTTTTTTTTTTTTTATTGATATTAATAATGGTTTTATTAATACTAGTTTTTTGTTACTTTATGCATATTAAAAAGTTTTGATACTATATAAATATTATGTTTTATTTATCACAATATAATATGTGGATTAGGTATTATATAGGTTCAATCAATTGAGAATCCAATCTTTTAAAGGGTGGCCTAGATATTGTTTATAATGCAGAAACACTTAAATTAATTGTCAATTAATTTTTTTATGGAAGCTTATTAGTTTTTGTTTGAGACTGAGTATCTGGCCCAGACTATTTGTTTTTATGCCTATGAATGAATAATTACACATTTATAAAAAAATTAGATTCAATTAAGTTATTTAATACAGTTATGGTAACTTGTATAGTTATTGGCACCTTAAGAATTTGTTTTTGTTAGTTACTAATTATTGGCACCTAACCTGCTCCATACGAAATCGAATAGCAAATTATCAAATAAATAATCATATAATATTATAATCGAAAAAAAAATTTCTCTAAAATTCATAATCAAACATTTTATATACGAAAAACAAAATTACTTGGTGCCAATAACTATACAAGTTACCTACCATTGAATATACCATTGAATTTTACGCAATTTGTGTTCAGTGCTGTGATTCATAATTGAACCGTTCAAACACCGATATTTGCATTAATGGTGCACAGTGCCGAGATTCATAACTGAACCGTTAAAACACCGATATTTGCATTAATGGTGCACAGTGCCGAGATTCATAACTGAACCGTTAAGACACCAATATTTACACTAATGGTGCACAGTACAGTATAAGTTAATTTCTAGATACAACACGGTTATAACACTGACCTACGCACGAATCGAGCACAGTGTTCCGCATGTAAAAAATCGGTATTCAAATGGAAAAAAACACCATGCCCTGAACCGAAAATGCACAGAGTTCAACACGTAAGCTTTAATGATATTTTAACCATCTCTGAACTTGAATTGCTACTCGGGTATATATATATATATTCTATCTAGGGACGGCCCTGTTTCTGAGTGTACCTACTGTGAAATTTAATTTACTATTAAAAATTATTCCTAGGTCTTTAAAGTCTGAAACGAGTTCTATCTGAAAATCAGATATACATATGATATTGCAATTTAATTGGATTTTTTGTTAAATTATACCGCATTAACATTTACATTTATTAATATTTAAAGATAAGTGATTTAAATTATACACCGTACCTACTTACTTGTAAAT